TTCTTATTTCTATTTCTTTTCTTTGGGTCACTATCATTACATTTTCTAAATTTGATTTCAGTGTACTTATAAGCGCTGTTCATTAAAACTTTGTTATACACACCGCTATATTTATCAAACTCATCTTTGTTCGATGAGTGGTTGCTAATCCTACGTTCTACAGACGGAGGTATATGTTTGATTAAAAATGAGGAGTAGAATTGGAGTGAATATACATTATGTTAGCATTACTTTTCATCTAAAGTTGAAACATATCATTAACGAGATCTAACGAAACATCAAGAAAATCTATTTGTTTAACATCAGTACGTATCTTAACCTTAAGAAAATAAATTTTGTGTAGAAATTTTGACATGTCTTCGGTGTAATAGCCTAAAACAAATTATATATATATATATATAAATATATATATATATATATGTGTGTGTGTGTGTGTGTGTGTATTTTTTATATTTAAAATTCCCAATGTCGTTCGTACACATATGTGGTCGAATTAACGTAAACAAACCTAGTGCCATGAAGTCCTCAGAGATGAAACACTTCATTCGATTTTTATTTCCATTTTTGTGATACATCTTTCCTACATTTTTCGTAATATAAAAATATATATATCGTTACCATATATATATATATATATATATATATATATATATATATATATATATATATATATATATATATATGCACCTAGTGAGCCAGACAAACCTACCTAGGTTTCACCTAAACGGATCATCAGGGAAGTAAGGCTAACGAGGCAAAGAGAAACGCATATTTATAGGCGATAGCCAAAATCATACCACGTGACCAAAGAACCACAAACACAAACCTAAGTGGGTAGAGGGGTAAAATATTTATTCAACAAAAATGGGGAGGGAAAAAACCCAACATCAAGGTGGAATGACAATAAACGGGAAAACGTCTAATCTAGTAGCCAAGATGTTATATGTCTACATACGTTAAGGATTTCAGTTTTAGAGTTTAATAGCTGGTTAGGTTGATCATATAAAGCTATGGCTAATTTCTCCTCTGCACATAATTTACCAAATTTATGGCCTGCTTTATATTTTTAGGCATTTTTTTTAATATTTCCCATTTAAGGATGGGGTCTATATTATCTTCCTGTTTGGTTTTTCATACATAAGTAGATAGCGTGGTACTATGTTTATTTTTTTTAATATATATATATATATATATATATATATATTAGATTATATATGCAGAACCCATTAAAAAATTATTTTTTTTTATATTTAAAATTCACAATGTCTCTCGTTCGTACGCATTCGTGGTCGAATTAACGTAAACAGACCTAGTGGTACGAAGTCCTCAGACATGAAACGCTTATATACTGAAAACGTTTTTCCAATACATTTTCCTCCATTGTTCTTAATATATAAAAAAATATGTATATATATATATATATATATATATATATATATATATATATATATATATATATATATATGTATGTATATTTAAAAAGCATGAACAAGAAGTTGTCGGGTTCATCAGAACCAATAAACTGCCGCTAAAGATGGGGAGAATATAACCTGGCCTGTCAATGCCAGATATGATTCACTTAATTGCTCAGCTACTGTCTTCAGTTTGATTTACATATGATATACAAATCGGATTATTTGAAGGAGAAGTGTTTTGTCTGTCTTGATAATATATGAAAATCTGGAGTGTGTATGATACTGTGACAAAAAAATGCACCAGCTTTTTTTTTCCTTCAGTTTTTCAAAAAAAAAATGGCTGGTCCTACAAAACCCTTTAAAAATCACTTTAAATAAAAATTTATTCGTGTGTGCATGTGTGTGCGCACGCCGATAATATACATCCAAATGCTTTTAGAAACCAACAAATATTTATTTTTCAACATAATACTCTCACTAGCCATTTCATTTAATTGACTAGAGAGTATTAATCAAAACGTTTTAACATTATACTGCTAAAATTACGATCAGAATTTAGCTAATAACTCTCTCTTTCACTCCATATATAATATGTGTGTCTATATTTTGTGTATTTACACTATATACATTGTTCGGACTGATGTCTTCATCTTTATTCCTAAATTTTCGAGTGTTGTACGCCGTGGCCTTCGTCAGGTGATATTAGTAGGGATTACAATAAAGGTGTGGGCAACAGTCCGAACAATGTAATTACTGTAAATGCTTACAATACCTCATCTCATAAATATAGGCAGATATGCGAGTGTGTGTGTGTGTGTTTGTGTGAGTAAGATTGTGTACACAAGCAGGCGCGTACACACGCGCACACGCATACAGACACACAAACATATATATGCATATCTATATACATATATATATATGTATATACACACACATATATATAATATGATTTATATATATAATATGATTTTATATATAATATGATATATATATATATATATATATATATATATATATATATATATATATATATATATATATATATTAAGAAATGGACAAGGTCCGACAATTTATTTTAGTAAAGACATATATTTATAATAAAATATATAATATAAAATAACAACGTTAAAATAAATATATGTCTTTACTAAATATATATATATATAATATGATTTCTAATTACTAATATTTGAGTTTCATCGATTGAGACGATTTCTCTAGGTATATATCAACATCCATACCTGCGTGTCGGTACGCACCAGATATATATAGATCCCGGCTTGAAGCAATCGGACGTCTAGCCATATCGAGGAGCTGTGATACAGCAAAACTGTTTGTCTGTGTATATATATATATATATATATATAAGTGAGCATACAAATCAACACTTAGAGGCGACAGTCTGTTTCATGCTAGATGTAATCGTCTGGCCACGCTCTATCTCTGATATTGAGCACTTTATCCCATAAATATAGCACATCTTAAGACTATATTTCTTCATATATATATATATATATATATATATATATATATATATATATATATATATAATTTATTCGAAAATATAACATATTTATGATATAATTTTCGAATAAATTGTATTCCTCTACTCTGCATTGAGCACTCTATTAAGAATAATATTTCTTGGATATTGGAATTTATAAGTGTGTATATATATATATATATATATATGTGTGTGTGTGTGTGTGTGTGTGTGTGTGTGTGTGTGTGTGTGTGTGCTTCACTCTCTCGCTCTCTCTCTCTCTCTCTCTCTCTATATATATATATATATATATATATATATATATATATATATGCACACATATAAAAGAGAGAGAGGGGAGAGAGAGCGATAAAAGAGTTGCTGGAACGAGATATGTGGTGATATAGAAATGTAAATGGTATACATCAAAGAAAGGCCATGAAGAATTTTAGCTGTGACTGGAAAGTTCTTTGAATTTTTTTCAAAAATGTTTGTTCAGTTTCATTCATTATGCTTTGTTTTGATATGAATTTCTTTTCTTTCCTTCTTGATCTAAAAACATTTTTTAAAAAAAGCCTGCAAATGTAATCTTTTTAATTGCAATGGCTTCATTTCTACGAATCCTTGGAGACATCGATTTGTAATTTCTTGGACATTTTACTGATCATGTTTCAAACTTAATCATTTAAGAACTAAATGGATACTATGGAATGAAACAACAAAGTCGACAGGCACAAAGGCATAATTAAAATGGCTAAAAAATAAATCAAACAATAATGCTTTAAAGAAATTAATAAAGTAAAACTGTGGCTAATATTCTCGGCTTATTTCTCTTAATTTCTTTGATTTATTTTCTTGTATATTTTGTTTTGTCTTCTTTTGCGCCATTTTGGCGTGTAAATAAGCAGTTTGGGGAGTTGGCATGTTTGTCGGAGAATTTAAAAAGAGGAAGCAATATGCAACAGGAGAGAGATTATTTTATTTGCATGTAAGGAAAATAGCTAGAAGGAATTGTGAAAGAATGGAGGATAGATAGATAGATAGATAGATAGATAGATAGATAGATAGATAGATAGATAGATAGATAGATAGATAGATAATTAATAGAATCAGATAGATAGATAGATAGATAGATAGATAGATAGATAGATAGATAGATAATTAATAGAACCAGATAGATAGATAGATAATTAATAGAATCAGATAGATAGATAGATAGATAGATAGATAGATGATAGATAGATAGATAGATAGATAATTAATAGAATCAGATAGATAGATAGATAGATAGATAGATAGATAGATAGATAGATAGATAGATAGATAATTAATAGAATCAGATAGATAGATAGATAGATAGATAGAACCAGATAGATATATAGATAATTAATAGAATCAGATAGATAGATAGATAGATAGATAGATAGATAGATAGATAGATAGATAGATAGATAGATAGATAATTAATAGAACCAGATAGATAGATAGATAATTAATATAATCAGATAGATAGATAGATAGATAGATAGATAGATAGATAGATAGATAGATAGATAGATAGATAGATAGATAGATAGATAATTAATAGAATCAGATAGATAGATAGATGGAAAGAAGGAAAGGAAGAATGATATGAAGAAAGAATTATGGAAGGAAGAAAAGGTGGTAAGTCGGAAGGAAGGGTGGCTAGATGGAAGGAAAGAAGGGTGGAGAGAATGAAGGAAGGAGTGATAGCGGGAGAAAGGATGGAAGGAATTAGGGAGAGAAGGAAAAAAGGATAGGAAGGAAGGAAGGAAGGAAGGAAGGAAGGAAGGAAGGAAGGAAATTTAGATTTTAAAAAAGAAAGTAAACTCATTGGAGCCTGAAGAAATAAAAGAATAGACAATTACCAGATTATGAGAAATAAATAAATAAAGCCGAAGGTAGTAAGTGGGGGGTGAAAATAAGAAAGCAAAATTGATGGTATTGGATGAATTATAGAAATGCCAAAATGAATAACGCAAGAAAATAGTCGAAAAGAAAGAAAGAAAGAAAGAAAGTACGCGTGTGGTGACAGAGAGGAAAACAGAGAGAAAACGATGGAAGAAAGAGCAAGCTCTATTTTAAGAAAGAAAGAAAGAAAGAAAGAAAGAAAGAAAGAAAGAAAGAAAGAAAGACACACGTGGTGACAGAGAGGTAAACAGAGAAAAATGACGAAAAGAAAGAAAGAAAGAAAGAAAGAAAGAAAGAAAGAAAGAACATGTGTGGCGACAGAGAGGAAAACAGAGAGAAAACGATGGAAGAAAGCAAGCTCCATTTTAAGAAAGAAAGAAAGAAAAGAAAAAAAGAAAGAAAGAAAGAAAGAAAGAAAGAGATTATAGTCGTAATTAGGGAGGAAAAGTAAAGCGCAAATTATGGGAATGAGTGACACATAAGGAAGAAAAAAAAGAGAGAAAAAATTTGATGATTAAGAAAGAAAGAAAGAAAGAAAGAAAGAAAGAAAGAAAGAACGAACGAGATGGGAAAGTAACACGGCAAACATAAGCAATAAAAATTAAACCACAAGAACAAAATAAAGAAAAAATAAATAAATAAATAAAATAAAGAAAGAAAGAAAGAAAGAAAGAAAGAAAGAAAGAGCTTGGTCATGTTAAAGGAATAATAAAAGGAAAAAAAATATGGTTGTATTCCGAAAATAAGAAGAGGAAAAAAGAAAAATATTAGAAAGAAAGAAAGAAAGAAAGAAAGAAAGAAAGAAAGAAAGAAAGAAAGAAAGAAAGAAAGAAAATCTCTTCTCAAGGATAAAAGAAAACATGGACTGTGAGCAACTTGGATCGGGGTACATCAGATCCCACACGAAAAGGAAAGGAAGTGAGAGCGTCGGATATTGTCACTAAAATGATTAGGACGGGTCGATGTTGAGGGAAGCCGAGGAGGCAAAGATATAAAGATAAGAGAAAAAAAAATATCCGAAGAAGATTGGGAGATAGAAAGCAAAATGAAAACAAGAGGAAATGTGCAAGAAATTGGTTCCAAGAGGGTAGACTGTGGGAAGGGCGGTCTGAGGAGAACAAGTGTAGAAAGAGATTGAAAGCTGACTGGGGCCGCTTGTGAAGAAACGCTATTTATTAATTCTAGTTGAAAGCAATTTTGTCGGAAATATTATCGGGCGGCGAGTGAAATGAAGTCGGCCATTGACGTCAGAATGTGGTCCTAGGCCAAACAGAATGTGGTCAGCATCGGTCATCACGTTGCACGCCACAAGATAATTCTAGCCCGTCTTTTGATACATCGTACAATCCAATATCCCGTCCAAAGGAACGTGATCTAAGTATCAATTGAATTACAGAGAGGCGAGGCAAAGTGAGAGATGGCGGATTGAAAATTGTGTGTGCGTGTATGTGTGTGTGTGAGCGCGCGTGTGACGGTGTTGGGTGGGGGTCTGGAATCGAATGCTAACAAGAAAAGAAATGGTTGGGACATGAGTTGAAGTAGAAGGAGATGGGTTCTTTTCGCACCCGCACTTATCCACCCTATTTCTTCCCTGCCCATTGGCGCTTTTCTGCGACCAGAAGTGCTGGTGGCCAGGCTACCTCCTTGTTGTGCAAGTACATTTCTCTCTGCCTCTCTCTCTCTTTCTCTGTGCGTGTATATATATATATATATATATATATATATATATATATATATATATATATACGCGTGTGTGTAATTATTCATTCGTACGTTGAAGACATGCAGAAATTTTTGAAATCTTTAATATAAAAACATTCTTTTACACACACATATATGTAGTTAAGTAATTTGTTGCCACCACCCGTTCACTATACGTATACTAAAAGAAAGAAAGAAAAAGGAAAGAAGGTACGAAGGAACGGAAGAAAGAAAGAAAGAACATATGTGATGAGAGAGAAGTCGCCAGAGAAAAAAGACAGAATAACAAAAGAAAGAGCAACCGATATTTTAAGAAAGAGTGAAAGAAAGAGTGAAAGAAAGAGTGAAAGAAAGAGTGAAAGAAAGATCATGGTCTTAGGGACGGAGAAAAAAGATAAGGTATAGTTGAATTGATGGACATGATATATATATATATATATATATATATATATATATATATATATATATATATATATATATATATATATATATACGCGTGTGTGTGTATTTAAAATTTCCTATATTTACGATGCAAGAGTGCTCAATATCGGAGACCATTTTAGGGCCGTGTTGATATCTATGTAACCTCCAACACACACTCTCACGCTCTCTTTCTCATTCCTTCTCTCTCTCTTTCTCATTCCCTCTCTCTCTCTCTATATATATATATATATATATATATATATATATATATATGTGTGTGTGTGTGTGTAAAAAAAAAGAAAAATATAAGTTCAAACGTTCACAGCATTAATTCAAAAGAAGGTTGAATACAGGGAGTAGATCAAAAGTTATTCATAATAAAATTTTTTATATAGGGACAAAAAAAAAATCCATACGACAAAGATGTATTTTTTGTTTCAATGTAGAGGAACATCACGACGATTGAGGAACAGGTTGCTCAATCGTCAAGATACTCTTTTGTTACGAGGAATCGTTTTTGCCTGTATGTAAAAAATATAATAATAATAATAATTATATAAATACATACATATATATATATATATATATATATATATATATATATATATATATATATATATATATGTATATAGAAAGAAAGAAGGAAACAGTAAGATATATAATCCGGTGTTCTTATTAATATTTTTATTTTTACAAAATAGTGCTCAATGTAAATTTACAGAATTAATATTATAATTAACTGATTTAAAATATGTTTTTTTCGCCACACAGTAATAACTATGATTCAAAATGGAAACTAAAGCTTTGAATTTAATTTTGTAATTAAATTAAAAACATTAGTTCCATTTCATCCATCATACCGAAAAAAACATTTTAAATCAGGTAATTTATAACACACACACACACACACACACACACACACACACACACACACACACACACACACACCACACACATTATTGACACGCATATATATATATATATATATATTCATGTATGTACGTGTATTATTTCAAATTTATTGTATTTATGATATTGAATGATCAATATCGGAGACATAAACACCCTCACACACGCCCCTTCTCTCTCTCTCTCTCTTTCTCTCTCTCTCTCTATCTCTCTCATTATATATATATCTATATCTATCTATCTATCTATATATATATATATATATAGATAGATAGATAGATAGATAGATAGATAGATGTTATGGTGGATCAATGTTCGCTACCAGATAATTATATCGTTGTAAAATATTCGATCTATATGAGTAATATTCACCGTTGAATTAAGCGCATTGACAAAGAGATTAGATGTAAAAAGAAATATTCGTTGTTTAAAGTAAATGATTTGTTCACAAATTAGACTACGGTCTTATTGACGTATTTTCTTTTATTGCTGCAAACGTTATTTTAGTGGATACACATGTTTCAGAAGGTGCCCCGTTTTCTTTTAAAGTGTGAACTAAGATTGCACATTCCAGAGCTATAATAGGAAAAAAAGTCAGTATTCCGTCTGAATTCGAACCTCTTCAGGTGGAAGACCTGTTCTTTAGGCCGCTTGGCTACAGAGAGTTTAACGGCCAGTTTAGTTTCAATTACACACGTTCTCGATCAAATCTTGTCGAAAGTTCATATCTGCTCACTTATTCATTTTCGTATCCGAATCGTAAAGAAAGTAACTTCTAAGGAATTAACGTTTTTATTTTTATTTTTAATCCGTTATTATTACTTATTTCTCTAAACGTTATTTTTAGTTCATGCCCGTGTTTGAGTAGACGCCCTATTTTTCTTTTAATTAAGCAGGGTATATTTACGTCTATCGGCCTGCACATTCGAAAGAGTTAATAAAGATACTCTCGGATCAGACACTGGTTCTCATCTTACAAAGTAGATGGAGCGGGTGGCGGGTATTCTCTTTCCGAAGTATGTCGAATGAGTAGGCCGGTACACGTAATTTCCACTTTTTTTAAAAAATGGAGGAAAAAATATACAAACAGCAGGGCGTCTACTCAGTCATGTGTATCCACTAAAAATACTTTTTGGAGTAATGAGAAATATCTTTTTAAAAATAAAATCCATTTATGTGTCTTTTCATCTCCCCACGTGACCCTTTTTCAGTCAAACCAAACCTTAGTAACTCAATATATCTGTTTTTGAGATAATGATGGTATTAGTATAAATGTTATTAGTAGTAGTAATAATAATAATAATAATAATAATTAGTAGTAGTAGTAATTATTATTAATAGTAGTAGTATTAGTAATTATTACTATTATTATTTTATGTTGAACTTTTCGGTGAATGCCAGCATTCGTAAATGACGACAGTTTTCTGGAGGTCTACAATTTTGGTCTTTAAATTTTCTTGCTAAAAGTTTTACATCAGCGGACATATTCCTTAGTTTTTTCATCTCTATAAGCAGATCTTGGTATCTGCCAATCTTTCCACTTATTTCGGGGTTCGGTATTGTATCATATGGAACAGCAATGCCAATGATTTGACCATTACTACTACCCTTATCTGGATGTGCGGGTGGTGTAATGGATAGCGACTCCGGATGAGAAATCCATGAGCCGAGTTCGAATTCCATTCAGTTTCGTTATATTCACTTACGCGGGCATAACCTTGGGAAACGCATGAATTCATATTTTCTTCTCCCCAGCTATGGGTTAAATAGTAGGACTTATATCTGGAAAAATCACTACCTAAAAAAATTGGCAATGCAATATTCGCTCGCCAAAAAATTACTATTATAACAACTTTATGATTGGCTTTAAGTAGCCCACACAGGGGTTGATAAACCATGCGTACATTACCATTCACGCGGCCGTATTTAAAAATCATATCTGCCTGTTCACGATATGAATATCATGCCATTGTTAAACGAAACACTTCTCAGTTAACTCACTGCTGCACACGTTAGACGTTGAAGACTGACTAGCCATAAATGTACATGAATGACAAATGTAACCTAGCCTTCATGGCAAGAAAGCGCCATCTATCGTAAACTTTCTGAAGCATTTGGGGGCATGTATTTATGTGGACATTTCCCCTTCTTTTGGTGTAAGGATACCGTCCCCAAAATTTTCTAAAAGTATTTTTCGATACACCTTGAATATATACACACATACACTGGTGAGTTAGATCCTCACTGGGCGCCGTATACTTTCTGCCTTGTACCACAACTAAGTTACGCTTATAAAATCTTTTCGACACATCGACGTGATGTAATGGTTAACAAGCTTGTCTTGCTAGATCAATTACGACTGAATAGTGAGCTCGATCTTTACTGGGTGCCCCATATTTCGGCCTTGTGCCACATTTAAGCTACACTTAGAAAATAATATCTATATTTAAAATCCAAAAACACATCTTTTTACCTCTTATGATTCTTACAATCTTATGATTCGGTTTTAAATAAGGATTAATAAGTCATGAAAAAATCAATCAACCAAGTCTCCTTATCTATGCTTACAGTCAAATTGAAAACAGGCTTTCGCTCAATCAGTAAGGTTAAGCAGTATCTAGCTCCGGTCACTATTTACATGGTGGGTTGCTTGGGAACACTGGTTACTATAAGACAATCTTTTGGAGACAGTTAACATGAATTGTTGATTCCTATGTTCACGCGACGTAATCTTTCTCTCTCTCTTTATATATATATATATATATATATATATATATATATATATATATATATATATATATATATGTATGTATATGTGTGTGTGTGTGCAGGTATGTAGATAAATAGGTAAGAACACGTTCCGTAAATAACCAAGGGGACTTTAGTATTTTTGTTTTTATTTTTAAAAAAAAAAGCAGTGCTCCATACAGAAGTAGAGCTTAGATTATAATTATTTTTTTTAAAATATGATTCCTTCTGCTACATAAGAGAACTCTTATGTAGCAAAGGAATCATATCTTTAAAAATAATTATAATATATATATATATATATATATATATATATATATATATATATTGCAAAACTTTTCGGTAAAACGAATTTAGTTCTCTCAGTCACTGTATGTTTATCTAAAAATAAATACGCTTAAATTCGCCTTTTAACCCTGACGGCTTAGGGGTAGAATCTCCGAGTGATGCCAATTCAGCCGCGTTTTGAACCTAGCTATAGTCACCCCCCGACATCTAGCCACACTGTTCCCCCTGCAACAGTCTGTCTGTGGATGACTATATATATATATATATATATATATATATATATATATATATATATATATATATATATATATATATATATGCGTGTGAATGATTCATTGATTGTTTTACGGACTATAACATTTTTTATGTTATTTAAAGCCAGAAAAAGGGGTTTAGTTTGTTAAAACATTTGGGGGATAATAATGATTTACTGATACAAGTTCTGCTAATTAAATCATAGCAGGGGGAAGAAGAGGTGGATTTATACCAAGGATATGACGAACGCGATTTGATTTGGAACCGGGCTTTTCAATTAACAATTCCGAGTCGTTATCCATTACGCCAACCGTACATCCAAGCTTACAGCACTTGATATTCCCAATTGGCCACCCATCTAGATACTTAACAGGATCGATGCTGCTTAACTTCAGTGATCGAACGAGAAGCGGTGTTTCAACGGGATATGACCGTAAGCCTCGGGTGTGTGTGGGGGGTAGGGTATGTTGTTTCAATCTGACCCAAAAGATCATCGATTTTAGCTCTCTGAATCGCTTCTTCCTTGGTGCGATAAAATTTTGTACCCGATATTTATATATATATATATATATATATATATATATATATATATATATAAAGTGAACATTGAAGTCTACACTCAGGGCCGACAGGCTGTTTCATGCTAGACGCAATCGTCAGGCCGCCGAAGACGATTGAAACAGCCTGTCGCCTCTGAGTGTGGACTTCAATGTTTTTTCTTTTATATTTACATACGCTCTATCATTCTGATATTGAGCACTTTATTCCGTAAATATAGCACTCCTTAAAAACTATATTGATATATATATATATATATATATATATATATATATATATATATATATATATACAAACCTTAGAGCCGGGGTCCTCACACCAAAACAAGTACGAAAGTCCATATAAACATATGCCCGCAAATCCTTCGTTTTGGTAGACGTTGTAAAATTCAAAATACAATTCAAAAATACTTTTTTACAGATTTGGGGCAGATTCCTCACACTAAAACAAAGTAAAATGTCAAGGTAAACAAATGTGCAAAAGGCCTTCGTTGTACCTCCAAACAGCAACTCAACAAATGTTCAAATTGTCCCCCGCTTGCTTCGACACACGCATGCAACCGTCGGATCATTGAGTGGCGGATCCTTTCAAATATTCCTACACGGTGTCGAATGGTTTCACAAGGCCTCATGACACGTTGATGAAGCGTCTCCGCATTATTAATGCCGGCTGCATAAACCAATTGTTTTAGGTAGCCTTCAAATGATTGATGTCGGAGGAACGTACAGGCCATGGGACCGGTCCTCCTCTGCCTATCCATTTTCAGCCAGTGAATCGTGAACAATGAGACTAAATTGTGCTGGAGCCTCATCATGCATGAACCACACGCATCTTCGTATTAGCAGGGGTACATCCTCTAGCAGGTCTGGAAATGTGTTCGAAATAATGTCCCTCTAAACAGTTCCTGTAAGTCGTGCTGGAAGAACATACAAGACCTACCAGACAGACATCTATAAGTCCAGCTCATACATTAATCGTAAACTGATGTTAGTACCTAGCTTGTATTGAACCATGGGGATTCCGATCTGCCCACAATTGTTTCTTGTGTAAATATGTTATTCCATCTTTTCCAAATTTTGTTTCATCCGTAAACAAGAAAAACAATGGATCAGCAGTTTTTTGCAATAAACCACCGGCAAAAGTTCTCCCGTGATGAGTGATCCGAGGGTGAAAGACGCTGCACGCTTTGCAAAAGCTACAGATACGGGATCTGTTCTTGAAGTAGCCTCCATGCAGTACTATGAGATGTACGACATGCTAGGGCCACTTGACGTGTGCTCATACCTGGATCGTCTCCGACAGCCTGCAGAAATTGTTCTTCGTGGTCAGGCTTACGAGTGGGTTTACCTCATATGGTTAATAGGATATTTCGGCCGACGACGAAAGTGATCGTCTGTCTTTTCAACCCCGGCGGGGAATGAAAAAAATGAATAAATTTTTCCACACCGGGGTTGAAATAGCCTATTACCCAGATGAGGTAAAATGATTTGTTTGATTATTAAATATATTGCTCTGTATAAATTAAATAAAATACATCGAGCTTTTTTTTGTGGATCAGTTCTAATATTTTCATATTACTAGGATCCACTTGGATTATGTACAAACGGATTTTTTATATCTTAATATATATATATATATATATATATGTGTGTGTGTGTGTGTGTATGGGGAGGGTCTGTGGGTTTGTAAACAGTGACTATTATGGCTAATAATGTAAGACTCTTCGGTAAATCGAATCGAGTTCTCTCAGCCACTGTGTGTTTGTCTAAAAGCAAATACGCTTAAATTCACCTTCATCCCTGCCGTGCTTAGTGGTATAATCGCCGACTGACGCCAATTCTAGCTAGAGGCAACAGGACGTCTAGCCACACTGATGAGCTCTGATACAGCGAAACAGTCTGTCTGTGGATGAAAAAATATATTATATATATATATATATATATATATATATATATATATATATATATATATATGTGTGTGTGTGTGTGTGTGTGTGTGAAAACAGATCCATGCATGTAGATTCCCTGTAAAAACGGGAAACCGAAGTAGCTCTACTCGTTTTGGAGTTTGGCGCTACACAATTGTTTCCCACCTTACCAGTTTACACATTCGTATTTGCACATCCTCCATTACGTAATTTGCACAGCGTTTTATCTTTTAGTTTATCCGTCTCTCAAACACGTGCGAAATTAAGGGACACTGTCCAGGAAAACTTTTCTTTTCTTATTAAAAACTTGTATTTTAATTTAATTTAAGCAATTTTGACAATCATTTGATTGAATAGACGCAGATAGCCTCTGATATTTTGCCGGTAACTTCATTCATTTAAAATGAGCGCCAAACACTTTAATCGGGCTAAACTTTTCTTTGCCTACCTCGCCGAGAACGGAGTCATCATCACCGATCGTCATTCATAAAACGGAGCCTTAAATTCTGCTTGGTGATTTTTCGACAGAATAACAAATGATAAGGAGGTGTAAACAAGGAGGTGTGTAATCCGTTCAAGCTGAAAAGGAAGTGGCGCGAATTTCCAAGGCGGGAACAATTTTTGTTGTGAGATTTTCTTAAAAATCGTAAAGGAAAAGGAGAAAAAACCCATTAACTCAGGCAACAAATTTGGCGCGTCTTAATCGGACATCATCGTTTGCATTTACGCATTTTTTTTTTTTTGCTTCAAGAGAAAGTGGTTCATTATACTCTGCATAGTCTTTTTTTCGTTTATTTTTTTCTTATTCTAGTTATTTTATTCATTCTTTTTTTCTTTCTACTTTTCTTTCTTGTTGCTGTTAAAATTTTCTCTCTTCTATTTTATTACTTTTTCTTTTCCATCTGTATCATGATGTTTTCTTTCTTTCTTTTTTATTTGTTTCCTTTCTTTCTTTCACGTTATTCATTTTTCTCACTTCAACTTCTTCTCTTTTCTATTTCCCCTCTTTCTTTTTACTTTCTTTCTTGGTTTATTTTTTTCTTTATTTAGTTCTTGTGGTTCAATTTTTCTCGCTTATGTTTCCCGTGTTACTTTCCCATCTCGTTCTTCCTTTCTTTCTTTCTTTCTTTCTTTCTTTCTTTCTTTGCGATGTTGATTTTTTTAAATTTCTTTCTTCTCTTCTATCTCCCCTCTTTTTCGTTCCTATTTCTTTCCTGTCGCTTTCTTTTTTTCCTTCGTTTTTCTTTCTTTATATTCCTGTGTTAAATTTCATTCATTTCTTTCTGTTTTACTTCTCTTATTTATTCTAGATTTTTCCTTTCCTTTTTTTCTACTTCCTACTATTTTTCCTTTACTGTCTTTCTTTCTTTCTGTTTTTTATTTGTTTTTATTCTTTCTATAATTCATTCTTTTTTCTCCTATTTCCAAAAGTGATTACTTTCATTCATTCGTTGAAATCATATTTTTTTTTTCTTTCTTTCTTTCTTTCTTTCTTTCTTTCTTTCTTTCTTTCTTTTATTTCATATTTTCTCTCTTTTTTAACTCCTATTTTCTTTTCCCATCGGTTCCCCCTTCTTTACATCCAAAAGGATATTTTATTTCTTACTAACCTTCTGTTCTTCATTTACAATTTCCTACATTTTCTTTATATTTTTCTATGTATTTATCTATAATTTTTTTATATTTTCTCTATATTTTTCTCAATATTTCTCTCCATATTCTTGATATTTTGTGTATTCCGTACTGTTTTTTTCTACGATTTTTCTATATTTTCTCCATAGATTTCTCATTATTTCTCTAAAATTTTACTATATTTTTCTGAATTTTTACTATATTTTACTATATTTTTACTATATTTTACTATTTCTTTCTGAATTTTACTATATATTCCCCATATATCTATATGCATTTCTCATGATTTTTTTCGATATTTTTCTCTATATTGCTCTACAATTTAATATATTTTCATTATTTTTCTGTCGATATTTAAGCACAACTTTTCTATATTTTCTCTATATTTCTCTGTACTTTTCTACCATCAAACTATACTATTTTTATATGTTGCTCCGTATTTCTTTGCAACTTTTCTATATTTTTCTCTGCATTTCCCCTACAATCTCTTATATTTTCTCTATATTTCTTTCTGTATTTCTCTACAATTTTTTCTATATTTTTATCTATATTTCTTCCTATATTTCTCTGCATTTTTCAATATTTTCCTACAATATTTCTGTATTTTCTCTACAATTTTTTATATGTTCGCCATATATAACTTTCTTCATTACTCTTAATTGTTTCTAGATTTTTATCTATATTTCGTATTTTCGACAATTTTCTATATTACTCTATATTTCTCTACATCTTCAATTTTTCTACATTTTTTCGATATTACCCTCTGCATGTCTTGACATTTTCTCGATATACTTTTTCTCTATACTTCTAACTGTATTTCTACAATTTTCTACATTTCCTCTGTCTTCGTCAGTTTATTTCTCGACAGTTTTGTATTTGGTTTCTACATATCCATATGTATTTCTCTACCACTTTCCTATATATTTTCGCTATATTACTATCGGCATTTCCCTATATTTTTTTTCTAATATTTTTCTCTATTTTTCTCTGTAATTTACTACAATGTTTATATATTTTCTCTGTATTTTTTCTCTCTATTTCTCTACACCTTTTTCTATATTTTCTCTATATTTCTCTCCTTATTTCTCTATAATCTATCCATATTTCTCTCTTTAATTCTCTATAATCTATCTATATTTCTCTCTTTATTTCCCTACATTCTTTCTGTATTTCTCTCTTTATTTCTCTATAATCTATCGATATTTCTCTCTTTATTTCTCTATAATCTATCCATATTTCTCTCTTTATTTCTCTATAATCTATCCATATTTTTCTCTTTATTTCTCTATAATCTATCGATATTTCTCTCTTTATTTCCCTATAATCTATCCATATTTCTCTCTTTATTTCTCTATAATCTATCCATATTTCTCTCTTTATTTCTCTATAATCTATCTATATTTCTCTCTTTATTTCTCTATAATCTATCGATATTTCTCTCTTTATTTCCCTATAATCTATCCATATTTCTCTCTTTATTTCTCTATAATCTTTCTATATTTCTCTCTTTATTTCCCTATAATCTATCCATATTTTTCTCTTTATTTCTCTATAATCTATCGATATTTCTCTCTTTATTTCCCTATAATCTATCCATATTTCTCTCTTTATTTCTCTATAATCTATCCATATTTTTCTCTTTATTTCTCTATAATCTATCTATATTTCTCTCTTTATTTCCCTATATTCTTTCTGTATTTCTCTCTTTATTTCTCTATAATCTTTCTATATTTCTCTCTTTATTTCTCTATAATCTATCCATATTTCTCTCTTTATTTCCCTATAATCTATCCATATTTCTCTCTTTATTTCTCTATAATCTTTCTATATTTCTCTCTTTATTTCTCTATAATCTATCCATATTTCTCTCTTTATTTCTCTATAATCTATCCATATTTCTCTCTTTATTTCTCTATAATCTTTCCATATTTCTCTCTTTATTTCTCTATAATCTTTCCATATTTCTCTCTTTATTTCTCTATAATCTACCTATATTTCTCTGTTTAGTTCTCTCTTTATTTCTCTATAAACTTTCCGGATTTCTTTATTTTTTTCTCTGTATTCTATCTATATTCTCTCTATATTTCTCTCTTTATTTCACTATAATTTTTCAATATTTTCTCTATATTTCTAACTGTATTTTTCAACAGCTCTATTCCACTGTCGGTGCTCACAATCCCGGACTCGTCACCCCTAAAAACTAAACAGGACCCTATTTTTTCGATATTTTTTCTCTCAGCATTTCAGTACAAGTTTTTCATATTTTTATTTATACTTCTCTCTGTATTTCCCTCCGTTTCCGACATTTTCTCTATGTTACCATTTTTCATTTCTCTACAGTTTTTCTATATTTTTTTTCTGAATTTTTCTACAATTTTCTTAATTTTTCTCTATATTTCTCCCCGTATCTCTCTACATTTTTTATATATTTTCCTATACTTATCTCTCTTTTTCTCTGTATTGTTTGATATTTTTTCACTCCACGTTTATTCCGTTTTATCCATTTCTATTATCTATTTCCTTTTCTTCTTCGATTTCTATTCTTTTATTCACTCATTATTTAATTCTAGGATGTATCGTTATGAGTTTGTATTTTTACCCTCTTACTGAAATTTTTCAAATTCATTCATTGCTTTTTCTTTAATATTTTTCATAATTAATAACTGTTGTCAGTTTAGTTTTATCTTTTCTTTATTCATGTATATGCTTGCTTCTTAGCTTTTTTTCTTCATTTTCTATAATGATTTTATTTCTATTCCAATGGATATACCTTACACACACACACACACACACACACACACATATATATATATATATATATATATATATATATATATATATATATATATATATATGGGGGAGGTTGATAACAGCAAAATTGTTCAAATCGTGTAACAGCAGAATTGTACAATTGTTAGATTAAGATTTGAAACTTTCTATCTTAGTGTTGAAACTTGACTAATGCATGGAATAATAATGCAACACAAAATGTACTTAGAACGAAATGTATTGAAACAAGAAAGTGTACACAATATTTACATATAGTCTTTTGTATATTCCTGGTAAGACCGTTCCTGGAGAATGTGTTGACTGAGTCGCAGTCGGGCAGAGTCTCTGGTTGAATCTCTTGATTCCTCCCTCTCTTCCCGGTACCAACCATATTTATATGGTCGGTACTCCACTATGCAAATTAGGTGGATCCTACCAGAACGCCTAGAAATGATTAAAGATATCTTACTGGAATTCTCTGAGGTTTTTATAACACTATTGAACTCTACATTGAGCAATAAGTATGTATAATTTCTCTCCAAGCTCAACAGAAGTATCGTGATGGAATCTATCATAAACGAAAATGCCATGTTTATCATTAATTAATCATAGGTGAGGATCGGAAAGATTGAAATAAAGTTCAAAAATATATATATATATATATATATATATATATATATATATATATATATATATAATCGACTCTCCCGTCGCGTTCGACGTATGAGGGTCAGGCCGATAAGTCCCCAGGAAACCGACATCCCGACACCGGCACATGAGATTTGTTTTTAGTGGTGAAGGCCTTGTGCAGGACCAGCCACACTTTTATATATATATATATATTATACTCGGATCATTTTCCAACTTATTCAAGATGATTGTCGACCTCTCTAGACTTGTAACTTTCTGTCCTGGAGTAATAAGTTGCTTCACATATTTCACGTACAATTTCATTTTCAAATCATTTTTCACTGATGTTTGGAGTGTCATCGGTGAAACTCCTCTCTCGTGCCAAACGTTTTATAGATTGAGTTGGATCTTTTCTAATTGATTTCTTTAGATCTAATTTGAAATGATGACTTCTCTTGCTGTTATGACCTCCTGATGCAGTTTTCCTCTCCACTGTTCTCTCTTTTTTAAACTTCTTCACCGTTCTCTTGATTGTTCTTGAATGGACTTTGAAGATGGAAACCAGAGTATGAAGGTTGGTACCATTGCTGAAGGCCTGAATGACCTTTCTCCTCTCGTCATTGCTCAGTTGGGAAGACAGTGGGTCTGATACAAAACTATTTTAACCTGCTCTCTCTTTAGCAGAGTAACTCAAAGAGTTTTTCATTGATTCCTACCAAAATTGGTGTCAAGAAAACTAAACGACTTATCAGAAAATCTGGAAAAATGAAACTCAGTTTAATGTTGTTGTTTTTTTTTTTTTTAAATATAAAACATTTTGTTGGATGGATAATTACGTAGTTATACAATTTGAACAATTTTCCCGTTACACCTTGTGTATATAGCTCACTTTGTCTCCCGTTGAAACTTATCTTTAATTTAATCTTTTTTTAAAATTTAATCAAAATTATTTTACCTGATCTCCTTCCTCTGTCTCTCCCTCTATGTATATTTCCTTAACTCAGGGTGGCAGCCCCTATTAGGGTTCTAGCTATGGGCAAAGAGTGTACCCCACCAAACTGGGGTCAAAACATGAAAATATAAAAATACATTAGAAAAATTACCAGCAATGCATCTCCTCCTCTCCTTCTCTCCCCCCTCTCTTCTCTCTCTTTTATATATATATATATATATATATATATATATATATATATATATATATATATTTCGTTTCATTTCATTTTTGGAAGTGCTATCTGATGATCCGGCGTCCTTTAAAAGGGCTCTGTGAAATAAATTATTATAATGATACCTTTAAAGTGGTCTGTTTTTCTTTTAAATTTATATATATATATATATATATATATATATATATATATATATATATATATATATATATATATATACAATATAAAAGGTTCAAAGACTAATATTCCATGGTTATAATTTATTACATTGGAATCGTAATCCCGATCCAATTCATCAGACCTACAAATTCAAAAAAAAATCTGAAAATATAACTCCCAACCCCTGTCAACGGGCTATCAAAATTCCTTAACGATATCATTACCCCATACCTGCCTACCAATTACAGCATCACATCAACTCACGAATTTCTTCAAATTCGAAATGTATACAGCCAACCCAATATATTTTAGCGTCA